ACCTCGTGATCCACCCGCCTCGGCCTCCCAAAGTGCTGGGATTACGGGCGTGAGCCACCGTGCCCGGCCAAAAACAACTTTTATCTCAATATTTGTTTTTTGTTTTTTTAAAAGATGGGGTTTCACCATGATGGCCAGGCTGGTCTTGAACTCCTGACCTCAGGTGATCCACCCACCTTGGCCTCCCAAAGTGCTAGGATTACAGGCGTGAGCCACTGCACCCGGCTATCTCAATATTTGTAAGAAGTTGTGATGAAAAAGGATTTCCTTAATTTTTTGAGGACAATGTAAACCCTTCTCTGTGCACCACTCACTGGCAAAACACACTGTCTTCTTTGTGGAGTATCTACTTTATATCCATTTTCCTCCTCACTTTTGTTAATAGGATCCCAAGAATTTTCACGATCAGTGGACCATAAACTTTAAAGGAGGCTTGGCTTTTCTCCAGTCCTGAGAGTGCAAATCAGGATTGGTTTGAACCAATCATGACAACAATTGCCTTTGTCATTGGCTAGGTAAGGGATGGATGTGTGGCGCAATTCTTGCCAATGACATAGGAGAGGAAAGGCTTTGGAAAAGTTTTTCTTATCTCTTAAAAACATAAATGAGGCTGGGTGCAGTAGCTCACACCTGGAATCCCAGCATTTTGGGAGGCCAAGGCTGGCAGATCACTTGAGCCCAGGAGTCTGAGACCAGCCTGGGCAACATGGCTAAACCCCATCTCTACAAAAAATACAAAAATTAGCCAGGCATGGTGGCATGTGCCTATAGTCCCAGCTACTTGAGAGTCTGAGATGGGAGATCACCTGAGCCTGGGAGGTCAAGGCTGCAGTGAGCTGAGATCGCACCACTGCATTCCAGCCTGGGCAACACAGTGATGCCTTGTCTCAAACAACAAAAAAAATAAATGAGGGATGCGGCTGCACTCTCTTCTATTCCAGTTGTGAGATATTGGTGCGCGAGGATGTGATGCCTGAAGATGTGGCATCCATCGTGAAACAGCCAAGGACCTGAGGATGAAGCCAGCGTCTGAGGAAGGCAGACCAAAGGGGTCTGCACACATGAGGAGGTAAATGAGCTGCTCAGTTATCTAAAACTAGAATAATAATAAAATATGTCACTTAGTATGTTTACATGTAGTATATTCAAATACATTCAATGTTAAAGTCAGTCATGATATTTTTCCCCTTCTTACAGCCTGAAAAGCATCTTGCATATACAACTGGCAGCACAGAATCCTGACAAACGTCGTGTCAGAAATCAACCACAAACTATGCTCTTAGCAAAATGCTGGCTTTGAGAACTAATTATGAATGAAAATTACTGATGTGATTTTTAGGTGAAAGATCCTATTAGACAAAATTTTGAATTCATTTTTTTTCTCGAGTAAAAAATGGAAAGAAAATCTTTCTCAATTTTATCTTTGAATCAAACTGTATCATTAAAGAGCTATGTTTTTATCCATTACAATTAATACCATGAAGTGTTCAGCAATAGAATACATCACCTGTATTAACTATATAACCATCCTTCAGAATTAATTCCTGCATAGGTAAATGAGTAATTCTCTAATTCCTACAATTTCTACAACTCTAAGATTCTATGATATCGAAATGTTCAAGTATTACACAAAACTCTCAATATATATTGATAAGCTGATTGTTTTGCTATTGCAAAAATTCAACCAAGTGATAGGAAAATGGGTCAGAGGCAACAACAAATTAACGGAGACTGCAGCAAACGTTTATTTAACAGACTCTGACCCCTCATGTGGAAAAGAGAGCTGTTCTCACTTTTGAACCATATTCCCCTAAATATCCTCACAATGTTCTTAGGCCTCACACACCTTCATTTTCTTTTCTATCCCCTCCATCTCACCCTTATTTTGAATTCAGATGAGTTAACACAGTTTGATGGCCTAGCCTCAGGTTCTGGAACGGGACAGCTACGCAGAGATGATGGTGACATGCTTTTCTCTTCTTACACTGCTTCTCTTTAAAGAATCTACAGGACATCTTCCTACATTTACATCTGAAACGAATAGTTTCATTTGGTGTCACATCCTTGCCTCAATTTATGAGAATATTGGTAAGGGACAACGTATTTACAAGGATTTCTTTATTAAAAACTGGGGGGATTGGCAAGTGACACTGTTGCTAAATAAATAAATAAAAATAAAAACTAAGAAGAGCAAGAACATTTCATCTGTCATTCCCTAGTCTAGGGAAGAATATCATGTGAAACTTTATGAAGTCTGAGACAACAGAAAAAGAAGAGGGATTCCTGTCCAGCCCCT